ATTAACGCTAAATGCAATATCTGGACGTGTTAATGTTAGGTATTGTAAGGCTCCCGTGATGCTGCGATATAATCCTGGATCCGACATGAATTTGTCTGAGTCAAACTCAGACGGAACTTTCGTGCATGTCTGGTTGGAGAGAGGGTTACAATGAGTGAGGTCCGCTTGCTGTAATATCTTATATGCGTATTTGGCCTGTGAGAGAAAGAACGAATTATTAGATTTTGAGATTTTAATGCCCATATATTCATTGGCTTCTCCAAGGTTTTTCATATCAAATTCGTAATTGAGTTTTTCCAGAATTAATGAGATTTGATGCTTATTGTTACCAGTAATCAAAATGTCGTCAACGTAAATGAGTAAGAAAATATTTACTTGATCTTTATTGTAGATGAATAAAGATGGGTCAGCTTGACTATGTGCGAACCCGAGAGTAAGGAGAAAGGATGTGAACTTATTGTACCACTGACGTGGAGCTTGCTTAAGTCCATATATGATTTTGTGGAGACGACAGACGTGATTGGGCCTTGATTTGTCTTCAAAGCCTTTTGGTTGCCTAATATATATGGTTTCGGATATAGGACCATGCAAGAACGCGTTTGCGACGTCGAGCTGTTGAACGGTCCAGTTGTGGTATAGTGCAAGAGCTAACATTATGCGTATAGTAGGAAGTTTTACCACCGGACTGAAGGTTTCTGTGTAGTCCGTACCGAACTCATGATTGTTACCTTGTGATACCAATCTTGCCTTATGTTTTGCAATCGAACCATTCGTGTGAAATTTCGTGCGATAGGTCCATTTGCTCCCAAGAATTTGAGCATTCGTTGGAGCTTCTACCAGCGACCATGTGCCCTGTTTTTGCAAAGCCAAAATTTCAGAGGCCATAGCTTGACGCCAGTGCAAGCTTTTGGACGCCTCCGTGAAGGTGGTCGGATCTAGCTAGGTTTCCATGGATTTGTGAAGATGAATCAGATTTAAGCGATTTGTTTGCTTGAGAGAATCTGTCTTGCTTCTTGTAGTCATGGGATGGACTGGTATAGGAGGTGGAACAGAGCTTTGATTGCTCGTTGGTTTATCAGGATGCGTTGTCTAAGAAGTAGAGGGAAACACATTGCCGGTTTGAGGTTGCTCTTTGTCTGGAATATGCTGAGGGTGGAGAGATCCTGTTGTATTGGAAGACAAGCTAATGGATGCAGGGGTTAGTAACAGAGGACATATATCATAAGAATTACCATGTGTTTTAGCACCCAGCTTTGAAAACGAAAAATTTGTTTCATTAAAGATAACGTGACGAGATATCGTGATCTTGTTTGATGACATATTGAGACACCGTTAACCTTTATACGCATCTGAATATGCAAGAAACACGCATTGTTGAGATTTTGGTTGCAATTTAGTGCGATTATGAGATGGAAGCAGCGGATAGCATTCGCATCCAAAAATTTTAAGATCATTGTAAACAGGTTGTTTGTGAAACATTAGTTCTAGAGGAGATTTGTTGTTCGTACTGTGCGATGGTAACCTGTTAATGAGATATACAGCTGAGTTTACCGCGTCAGGCCAGTAGACGTGGGGTAGAGAAGCTGTGAGAAGTAGCGTGCGCGTTGTTTCGATGATGTGACGGTGCTTCCGTTCCGCAAGCCCGTTTTGTTCCGGGGTGTATGGACAAGAAACTTGATGAGTGATGCCTTGTTGGATCAGGTAGTTTTTGAATGCCGTGTTCACATATTCCGATCCGCCGTCAGTACGCAATATTTTGATATGTTGTGAAGTAAATTTCTCGATCTGAGTTTGGAAATTAATAAAAGTAGAAAACACATCTGATTTATGCATTAACGGAAAAATCCAGGTATATCTAGAAAAATCATCTACAAATATAACATAAAATTTGAATCCTTGGCACGAGATAGTCGGAGCCGGTCCCCAAACATCTGAATGTATAGGGGCAAGGGGTTGTGTTTGACGGTGTGGAAGACGATCAAACACAAGTTTATGACACTTAGAGGCTATGCAAGAAGTACACAGATCTGTATATTTGTTCATATTTAAATGCGGATTACTTTGAGAAATGAAATCAAAAATTCTTTTATAAGGGTGTCCTAAATGGTGATGCCAGGTATGAGCAGCCGATTCTGACGCCTTGAGTGCGTGATGAAATTTTGGAGGAGATGATATCAGAATGTTGTACAGTCCTCCATTACATGGTCCTCGTAGTAAAATTTGCTGCGTCACTAGATCCTTCAACATAAAACCGGACGGATAAAAAATAATGGATATATTATTGTCGCGGGTTAGTTGAGAAATTGATAGTAAATTAAACTTGAGAGACGGAGTGTGAAGAATTTGCGACAAGCGCAGCTTACGAGTAGGGGTCGGAAGAATGCCCGACCCTTTATGAGCAATGTTCACCGAGTTGCCGTCGCCAACTGTTATGTTATCTGATCCATGATACGGATGAGCTAGCGACATATTGTCCATAGAGTTGGTAAGATGCGAGGAGGCTCCCGAGTCCAAGAACCAAGTAGATTCTTGTGTGTCCGAGTTGGCCATCAGCGCAGTGTTAGCATTCCTGTTTGATGGAACATACTGAGTGTTGAGACGATGCCAACACGTTTGAGCCGAATGACCCTTCTTGTAACATATTTGACAAAGAACAGAGGCATTCGAGTTGGGGGTTGGTGCAGGTGGTGCGCCGAATTTTTCATTTGAGTTGTTCCTGTTGGCAGAGGGCTGATTATAGGAATTTCGGCCTCTTGAGCGTCTTCCTCTGCCTCTGTTATTAAACAGGGCCATGTTGGGATCTGGAGCCGCAAAAAATCTTGCTGCATCCGACGCGAGGTTGATTTCCTCACTAAGCAGAAGCGGGTAGATCTGATCAAGTGAGAGCGGGGCAGTGGAGGTTCTTACAGAGGACTTAAAAGATTGATATATTTGAGGAAGCCCATTTAGAATATAGTGAATAATATCTTCTGAATCGATCGACGATCCCGCCGCGGATATTTGATCCACAATTGCCTTGATTTCAGAAAGATAGACCGTCATTGAGTTGTTCTTGAGCGATACGTTATGCAATGCGTTCTTGAGTTGTATGACCTTAGAACGATTCGTCGCCTGAAATCTGGTTTCGAGAGCTGCCCAAATTTGAGCAGTTGAATCTAAAGAAATGATGTACGGGAGAATGTAATCTGAAATTATGGAGCAAATTGAGGCAGACAGATTTTGATCTGTTAACAGCCATTGAGAATAGAGAGGATTTGAGGATGAAGAGCCATTTTGATTTTGCAGAAACTGGGATGGTGGTGAGGTTTTGGGATTAAGAAATGGTAAAAAACCATTTGCACGTAGTGTTTTTAGAATTTGTGATTTCCAGATAATAAAATTGTTTGGAGTGAGAGATGATGTAACAAGATTGCGAAGATTAGAGACAACGAACTTGAGTGTTGCCGGAATGGTAGGATCATCGGACGAGTGGCCGGAGCTTCTTTCTTGAAGACCGGACGAAGCAGAGTCTGTCATGGCTTAGGATCGTAAGCCTTCGCTGATACCATGAAGAAAATAACATAGAGGAGAATAAGCTATAAACATAAAACTTTATTTGATATTACTTGAATCGTTTGTGAAGACAGACGCCTGCTCTTATATAGAGTCAGAGCGATATAGAGTTAGGATTACTCTAGACGTAACAGCTGTAAAGATAATATTAAATACAGAGTATGCTTATATTCTAATAAAAAATAGCTATGACATATATTTACATCAACTTTAAGGGATTGTTTGGCAAAAGTAGGATTAACTAAATCCTGGAAATCCATGAAATACAAACCTGCTTATATGATTTTTGAATATGAATTCACTATTAGCTTCATAATTATTATGAGAATATCTTATGAACATGTAGCCTGAATATAATCTTCTCGAACTCTTGTTGACCATCGCAACAGTAGGTATTTTTTTAGGATTTACATAATATTCATCTGCCTCAAAGCTCTCATGTTGTGAGAACACAACAAACCTATTGTTTCAAACTTCATGCAAGTACATTGAATGCTTCCATCTTGTGCATCAAAATCAACAATTCAAGGATTAAATTGATCTTATTCTCTATGCAATAAATTAAAAACTTTCAAGAATCACATGACACAAACTCTTTGCTCATTTCACTCATGCACTGTAAAAATTCTTCTTCAAAAAATAAATATAATTTTCTTAAATAAAATTGAGCAAATTGCTTTAATATTTGACTGTTTTTTATTACAGATTCTATTACATCTCCTAAGCCTACCTTTCCCTTCCATCTACAATTCTTTTCTTGGACGGCTGCATATCAATTTTCAGCCTCCGCATTCTACGGAAATATTATTTGCTCGTAAAAAAAAACGTCCTTCTCAAAATCTGTATTCATTTTCATCGATATTTTCTTTTTCAGCTTGTACGAAAAATTTTTTAAGATAAAAACTTTATATATTACAAAACTTTTGTGGCTTGAAAAATTATTGCGTCCTCCCACCTGACGTAGAGATGCGTTCTCCTACCGCCAAAAAACTCGGTTTTTGCTCGGTATTGCTAGGTATTATTTGGTAACAACGAGGAATATCATCATGTGAAGACCAATACCGAGTTATACCGAGCAATATCGAGCACATACCGAGTTTTCTCTAGGAAAAACTAGGTATTTTTTTGTATTGCTCGGTATAGCTCGGTATAACTCGGTATTGGTCTTCGCATGATGATATTCCTCGTTATTGTTTGGTATTGCTCGGTATTTGCTTGGTATTTCTTATTTTTTAGTATGCTTTTAGCTCTGAAAGGACACATCTCTACGTCAGGTGGGAGGACATAATAATTTTTCAAATATTAGTGCCAACCTGAATTCAAGTGGATGTTGACTTATTTCGCACAGATTAATTTCTCTTGCTCCTCTCCTTTTTTTTCCTCGTTGTTCGGCTTCGTTGCTTTGCAGGATTCTTGCTGTTCGACTTCGCTCTTTGACGACTCTCCCTCTGTTGGATCGGAAGTTACAACATTTTGATCGAAAGCAACGGCGGGAGCTCGCTCGCTGTGAAGGTAACTTTCTCCCTTTCGCGCACTTCTTCGGCCAAATCTCATATATATGCCGAACTGCAGGATTTAGTAAATCCGGGATTTATGCCAAAAAGAGAGAAAAGGTGGATTTATTCTGCCGTGATCTAAACCTAAAAATTTGACGGAAGTCGTTCCTTCCTCGTCTCTCTTCGTTTCTTCTGCTGGCTCAAGCAATTTTGGGGTGATCTAACCCTAGGGTCTTCCGAGCTTCCTTTGGTGCCTCTACACGCCTTTTGCTCAGGTTCTTCTCAACTTTTGAGGGCCTCTGACCTTCAACACTTGGTATCGTTGGTCCGCTCTCAATGGAGCTGCCGCTCCCTGCTTCGGATCATTTTCATGGGATTCAGAATACTGTTGATTGAGCTTCTTGCTCAGAGCTGAAGGCTTCGCAGTCGTTTAACAGCTAGGTAACCTAATCTTCCTTAAATATTCAGTGATCCTAATGCTTAAGTGGTCAAATCTTCTCTTTTTTCTACTCCTTCTAGCTTTATTCCTTTGAAATCAAATGTTTCTAATAGTGCTCTTATGAATCAGTAAGCTAATATTCTACCTTCTGATCATTCAGATTATGAAGAAGATAGTCATGTTGTACTTAATGAGATAGATGTTTTTGAACATGCTTCTCAGCAGGATAAATGTCTTAGAGACCAAATATTAGCTACTGGAGACAACTCTCTTAACTTTCATTGCATTTATATTCGAGAAGATGAGATTTATAAAAAGCTTCTACAGGAATCTAGAACTCATTAAATTAAGAATAATAAAAAAAAAAAATTGAATAGCACTTATTCTGCCTCCCATATCTCCTCAAAAGACAGCAGGATTGAATTCTTCGCTTCACCATCTTTTTATTTAATGAGCAAATAGGATCCCATTATAGCTGTTACTAATGCTTTACAAGGTAATTGCCAAATTGATCGTATTGAAGATGCTGATGCTTCTAAGTTTAGTTATCCAGTAAACAGCTGAGTGGCCATGAGCTCAACATGGAATTAGAAGAATGTGAGATATCTAGAAGGCTTACCCTCCTAATGAAATTGATATGAATATTGAATTCCATAAGTCTTTAATTAGAAGATGGGATAGATATGGAAGTAGAATTCAAAGCTGTCAAAAAAAAAAAAAAAAAAAAAAGAATTCAAAGCTGTAAAAAAAAAAAAAAAAAAAAAAATCTCCATCACCTTTTTTGATCACGAAGGCTTACTCACTTTCAAGCTTATTTCAATGATTACAGCTCTTACTTGGAATATTAGAGTTGTTGGTAAGGCATTGACTTGAAATATCTCCAGAAATCTTGTAGGTTGCATAACATTCAGTTTTTAGTTTTAGTTGGACTTATGATTTTGAATTATAAACTCTCTTTTATGAGTATGCAAGTTGGCTTTCATAACTCTTGTGGTAATGTGTCAGATAAATTTTGGTCTTTTTGGAATGATAATTTTTACAGCTTTAATGTAGGTAATTTTGAAAGTATTTCATATTCATATCTCTGGTTCCCATTAATTGCACTCTTGTTTATGCTTCTTATACTAGAAGTAAAAGGTGTATCCTTTGAGATAATCATTTAACTTTCTCTAGAATAGTTGATGGACCTTTGCATGTTGGTGGCGAGCTGACGACTTTAACCCTATTATTGCTCTCAATGAAAGGAGAGATGGGTGGACCTTGGATTTTTACAAATGCCATTCTAGAATGTAGTTTGGTGGACATTGGATTAATTGGTTCATCATTTACTTGGAATAGTAAACAAATATGGCAAAGGCTTGGCAGGTTCTTTTTTAATGGCAACTAGATTAACCTGCATCTTTCTACTTCCATTTAACATATGAGCATGACTTCTTTTGAGCATGCTTCTGTCCTTGTGCGTATTAAAGGTAATCAAGGTAATGGTATTTCTCCATTTTATTTTCAAAATATGTGGTAATGGTATTCTTTCATTCTTGATAATTGGTTGGATCCTCTTCACCCTCCTAAGTATTATAGGATAAATACTCTTTGGCATAGATTAAAAGACTCAAGCAAGTTATTAAATAATAGAATAAAAATCATTTTGGTAATCTTTTTTATAAAATTAAGGAATTTGAGAAGAGAGTCTGTGAGTTTAAAAACTGCTATATCCTTGACCAATCAATGCTTAACCTTAATGTTCTCGAGGAAGCCAAAAGTAACTTCGCGCACTTGCAAGATATGGAAGAAAATTTCTAGAAATAAAAATCAACTTCTAAACACCTTTTGGATGGAGATAAGAACACTAAATATATATTTAGTTTATGCACTAGTCAATAAATGAAAAGGTACTAATTTTATTCATAAAATTAAATGAACAATAGTGCTTGGTGTGAGGATGAAAATTCTTTTAGCTCTTATGTTTTGGTACATTTTTCTTATCTTGCCTTCATCAGCATCAAGGAGAATTGAATACACCATTCTTTGAATGTTTTCATTGCGAAGACATGGCAGAAGAGGGTGATTGCCTACGATTTCTTGTGGACTTGTAGAAAGGATGTGAACGTGATTGTGCTCGCCAGCAAGTTGGGGAGGATTTATGTAGTGACAAGATCATAAAAAATGAGGATGTTGGCGAACTTCCTATAGTGTGGAAGACAACCCCAATTTGAAATGGTCATAAAAGCATATCTCCTCCTTGTAAAACATGTCGAGGCGCTTTCCCTCAATAGGAATGTGAGCTCGCAAGGTTGAGTTGGCGTAACGACACCTTATATACATCATGTTGTCATATGTAATAATCACCCTTAAAGATTGAAAGTAGTTGGCATTGACAAATGCTTGAGTGCATTTGTGTTAGGCAGCCATAGTAGCAACTTACACTCACTCATATGACAAAGAGAAGAAAAAAAAAATTGATAATAGAAATCTCGTGCTTGAGGGACTGGCAAAAGGGTATTTTTAAGGAATAGATATGACGTAGATATTGAGGTGCTAGTCACATATGGAAATAATGCCTGGATTTTGCACTTTTTTTTATGATGACCTTAGGATATGGCGGGTCATTTTTTGAAGTTTCCTTAGCACTATATGTTGGATGCTTGCTCCAAAGCTCATCTCATGACTTGCCTCCACCCATCGATTAGAATCGCCGAAAACTCATTAAACACTCACTATTCAAAGGAAAATAAGTAGCTTGCCGCAACATCGAACACAAAAAATCAATGTTATTCTTTCGCCTACAAGGTAACATCCATAGCATGTTCAAGACAATCACTGCACAACAGAGATAAAGTAAAATGGTACCACGTAGACTCGACATAAAGGTATATGCCATAATATAAAAAATTTATTACTAAGAAAAATTTTAGCAGGTCTTTTACATGTAGATAAAATAAAAGGTACATCACCATTGAAAACACTACATACAATGTTAGATGCTGCCTCAAATGGTAGCATCCCTGACTTAATGAGATACTTCATAAGGAATCTCCCTCCTTCAATAAAAGGTCTTACCCAAAGAAGACAATGAGCAATCTCCTTTGCTTGAAGGGTTGTGGCGTCCTTCTGCAGCTGTGCCCACCTTGCCCGCCACAATCTTTCTAAGAGCTGCCTCCTACCTTGCCAAAGACTCCTCACACATTCAATTCCTTCTCCATTACACTGAGGCGCTTTGCCAGAGTCTCTTGTGCGATTGACCATTGTGTTGGGAACCCGACAAGAGTGAGAAGGAAGGTTCTATAGGCACCTCAGCCTGGTTGATAGTTGGTGTCTCCTAAGCCCTAGGAAACTCCTCTAGCTCTCGACAACCTCCCTTGTAGGCTTGTTCTTCATAGCAAACATGTCACTCATTGGTGATGGCGCTGCATGAACATTGCCAACGTAGGAGGTGCTTCTGTGGTCAATAATGAAGGATTGAAAACAAATAAATCCTTATCCAAAAAACTCAAAGGGACTGCTAGCAGCCTATAATGGAGTATCATCGTCCATGCTTATAAATAAACACGCCCACTATGTGAACGACAACGCCTCAAACTCGCGTGGTAGGTGACCAAACATCTTGCTCAAGGAGATGCACACCTGGGTTCTCTAGTTGAGGGATGCAATTGACGGCTAGATAGAATCCCCTATAGAGATTGCAAATAATTCTTCATACCTTCCCTGAACGGAAAGTTCAATTCAACCCCCACCAAAGTCTCTGCAACTTAATGGAAGACACATGTTTATTTGCTGCTAACTCCATTGGTTACCTAGTGGGAAGTTGCCTTATCATCCTTACCATTAGAGGAACATCCTCAGAGCTTGAGGAACACACTATTCTCCTCAGGCTTACCCTTGCTTCTACTCCAATTCTAGGTGACAATGGGTCCACCACCTTTACCAGTGGCATTGTAATCACCTGTGTGGCACCCTGCTCTAACTTAGCTCTCTTCCTTGGGGGAGGGACTATTGCTCAGTGGACCCTTGCATAGTCAAGGGACCTGCCTCGATCACTTCACCTTACTTGTTAAAGCGTCAAGGCATTGGTTGACCCTACTTACTTGGACAGATGAATGGCTGCCCTACCCACCAGCTTAGCACTATATATTGCTAACTCGATGTGGTCCATTTTCATTTTCTTGCAACAAGCGTATTCTTAACTAAAAGCTCATTGGTGTAGGAGTATTGCCCCGTGGACTCCTACTTATAGAAGAAGTGAGTGAGTGGTTTTAGATGATTATCATGATGAGGACTATCATTATGAGGAATTTGCACAATGCTCGAGGTTACAGTAAAACATGGCAATAATTATGTTTTTATTTTAAATAATAAATGCTTTAAATTAATTTACTTGTCCTTTTTGCAACGTGCCCCTCAAAAGATCAAGTGAATCGGAGAACTATATGTGTGCTCATACATGTTTTCTTAATCTTCTCATAGGTGCTTAAGAGGTTCTAGTAGGAGAACCCATACCTGGTTGACCCTAGCAATGAAGAATCGTCTAAGAATGGTTGCTCTCTTTCTGAAGTACTAGTTACGAGAAGAATTTGATTCCACTCGGCCAAGGTCACCATTTATAAACAATTTCAAGTGTTCGCATAGATCTCTCTAGGCTTTGGGGGAATTAGCCTCGATAGAAATTATCCTCCCCTAATTCACTTTCCAACACACGAGCCAACAAGCCGTCAATGGCACTCTTTGATCCTCTCATAAGGCTTGCTCTTTAGGAAGGCACAAATATGCTTTATCATATTTGGAAAACTGTGAGCTTAGAATCACCATAATCTAAGAGGACTCGTCTTTCACATTCTAATGGCCCAAGAATTGCACCTAGGAGGTCGCCAACGTGACCAGCGGGCTTGTTTCCACAAACTTATCCAACATGATTCACCTCGAGTACTCACCTTTCTCAATTCGCCCATGAGCACTCGGCAAAGGGAGCTCGCCCCGAAATCAAAAGCTATGCCAATGGACATGAATTGCACAAAGCATCCATAAGATCACGACACGTGTCATTGGTAGTTTGTGCTCAGTCACATTTGTTACTGCACTTTTTTTTTTGGTGTAACCTTTCCATTAGCCCTTGTATACTTATAAATAATGGGTGAAGATGCATGTTTTGGATCTTTGGAAGCCTTATTGAGCTGGTGGAGCTTTTTTCTGAGATTCCCTTAGCCTTTCTTTTTTTATATTTCTTGAACTCTCTCCTCTTCATACTCACTCTAGACTTTCAAGTTCTTATTGCTTGAGATTGCTTGTCTGTAGGGTCAGATATCATTCACAAACAAATTTTAATCCAACACATTCAACACTTGAACAAACTTTTATGCATGGCTTTTGATTCATTCTTTCTTAGTTCATGGCCTCTGATGCATAACTGATATTGAAATTCATCTATTGCTTTGTGTGTCCAGGAAGGCATAGCTGAAACTGTTGAAGCAGCGGATGAACCTTTATTAAATACACAGTGGACACGAGAAACCAGGAGTTATAGTGATGTTCTCCTTGTTTTATGGACTATGGAAGTACATGTTCAGCAAGATAGAATTTCATGTTCTTATACTCGGTGTTCATAAGGCTGGAAAAACAGTAATCCCAACTCTCTTACTTTTTTGTCATGTTTTTGGCCATATACATTTGTGCAATGTCAAAAGATGTGTTATTTTTACCAAAAATTTTATTATTCTCCAATTCGGTGTCTAAGCTGATGGACCATAAAAGTCATGTTGAAAGGTGAAAATAGTCGAGTTTTGATAAGGTAAGGGAAAATAAGAATAATAAAGTTGGTGGCTAAAATGAATACATTCTAAATAGTCTTGGCTATTGGGATGTCTTTTTTTTAGTAGCATTATCAATACGGGCAATTGTTTATTTGTTATACTTCATCCATTATTTATTTATTTTAATTCAAGCTGCTCTGCTCGGCTTTTATTAATATTTAGGAGTTGGTGTCCGTATATTTCAATTGGTTGGTGTGCATGACTGGTTCTTATTTTTTATGTTTGTTCCCACAGGGCTCTCCCTATACTCTTAAAATCAGCGAACTGCTTAGTCTATCTGAATGTGCTGCTTCGAATTTGACCGTCCCAAAACTATTCTCCGTATTGAATGACCATCTTATATGTATTTTTTCATGTCTTGATTTAATCCAGCTTTCGACATGTACTTGGTTAAGTTTCATAGTTTATGCACCTATAATATGCTGACTGATTATGAGTTCCTAATGGCTCATAGTCTACTGCTCTCATTTATTTTTTATGACTGGAATCATCTTTGTCTTTGGCTTGAAAATTTGTTCCTTGTGTATTAGTTCAGCGAATTATATTCTTCTTTCTTTCTGGCTTTCTATGTTGTTGAGAGACAGGGCATGTATTTGATGTGCTTTGAGTTTTCTTATTCTATTCGATAATCCATTTTGATGTAAATGTGGTAGATCGAGAAACCAACCAATCTATCACACCAAGTTTATTCTGGGTTTTCTTAGTCTGCTTTTTGATTGTCAAATGAATAAGTAAACTTCGCCACTTTTGTACAGAACTATTGCAACTTTTGCGTTAGCTTCAAGGGTTAAAATTTAAACATATTCTTTGGACATTTGCATATATTCTTCTTATATGCATGTAACTTCTAAATTGTACCTATATACTTGGTAGTGTTGACCAGCTCAATGCACACTCCAGATTTTAGTGATCACGAATTACACAAAGGAATTAGGATGGATGATTTTAAATTAAGTGTATGCAGAAAATATTCACCATTAGGAAAAATCATACACATAAAGACAAATCTTTTACAATAGAAATATGTAATACGTCATCATGTGTAAGAGCCACTCAACACAAAATATTGAAGGCCAAAATGACAAATAAGCTAGTGTTGTCTAAATTTTTCCAGGTAACCCAAATTAGTTAATTAATTTTTCTCCATAGTTATATTATTAAATTTATATTAATTTATTTAAAAAATATTGCCTACGACCTTATTAATAATTCACTGAATAGAGAATGTGAAAATTAAGGCTTTAACCTTTTGTAAGAAATTGAAAAACAAACTAAATAGGTTTAATAGGCATATGCAAAGCGGTTGCGGGCCTCATCAAAGTATTGATTTTCTCCGTAATGAAACAGAGCACACGGGTCTTTGAAAAAGAATTATCATCTTAATGCGAGAATACAAACTTTTTAAAATGAAGTGTGGAGAAACTGTTACATATATGTTTGAACAGCCTACAAAAATTGTCAATGGTCTCAATGCATTTGACGAGGTACAGATGGAACAGGAATAGGTAAATAAGATCATATGTTTTTAACTAAAAGAATGTGATCTGAAGATAATGACTCTTTATGAAGCCAGGGTTTAAATTTCAATACTGTTGGCCACTCGCTTGGTTCTTTAGCCGTGAGCATAATGCGAACTTGAAGGATGTTGATGAGGATAATATGAGGAAGAAGTCAAAGACTGTAGCACTCAAATATCACACTCTGAGCAACAATGGCTCATCACTTTCCGAAAGTGATGTTTATGAAATGATATTATAAATTCTACAACTTGAAAGGATATTCGGAAATAATTTCTACAAAGACAAGGGTAAGAAATTTGGTCAAAATTTTAAAAATAAATTAAAGCATGAACTTGCAGGTGAAAAGAGGGAGACCCCAATGTGTTTTAAGTGCAACAAGTCTGGCTACTTGAAATCAAAATATCTTTAAAAGAAAAGTGAAAGAAAAGAAACATTCCAACAAAGAAGGGAAAGTAGGCATTAACGTTTATTTGGGCAGACTTGGATGGTGAAAGACACTATAGAATCATCTGTTCAAGAAGAATTAAATATGTCTCCTTGTTATTAATGTCTCTTATGATGAGGTAAATGACATGTATTATGACGATTTACATTATACTTTTTTTGAGATCAATAATATTTTTGTCAATTTAAATAAGAAATATCGTGCTTTAAAGACTATGTAAAATTTGAATTACATTATATTGGCTTTAAAATAAATTACAATATTCTTGAAAAGACAATGATGTTTATCAACTAAGTCATTTTTATGTGATAGATTGCTTTGAAAAAGTTCTATTTTTAATGCGATGCTAAAATTAGATGTAGTGTTTCTGCACCTTGGACATCACAGGAGAATGATGCAATTGATAGGAAGAATATAATTTTATTGTATAGGGAAAGAACCATGTTAAGTGAATAATATCTAAATATTTTTGAGTTGATAGCTTGTTGTGCGATTCATAAGATAAACATTAGATCAATTTTCAAGAAGACATCTTATGAGATATTGAAAGAGAAAGTAAATTGTATCACATTTTCATATTTTTAGGTGTAGATATTTTATCTTGAATACTTGAAAAAATGAAAAAGAAAGTTCGATTGAGTTTGAGATATGATTAGATGGAGTACTTTTGGGATATTCTAGCCATAAAAAGTCTTATATAGTATTTTGGATGATATTTATGTAAGAAGAATTAAATGAATTCATTAGAAATGATATTTGAACACTACAATTGTCAGGTCCCAAATCCTAAATTAGAAAAGTGGAGGGTTGCATTAGGTAGTCGACAACCAGTGTAAAATTTGTCGAATAATCATGGTATACATCTTTTAATACATTGTTTTAATGCTAGGTTGTTCGCTAGAAGCAATGCATTGTATGTCCTGAATACAACGACAAGTAAGAAAGAGCCACTTCACCGGCGCCTAGGTGCAACGTTAAATAAGCAAGAGTTCCCACATCATGGACGAATGTGGGCAGAGAAGCTAGTCTATGAAACTAAAATTAGGATATAAGCTTGGAATATATGTTCTCTTACAGGAAAATTAATGAAATTAATAGATATTATGATCCATAGGAAGATAAATATTTTTTGCATTCAGGAAATTAAATGGGTTGGAAAGAAGGCTAAGGAGATTAATAGTGTAGGATTTAAACTATAATATTTTGGTAGGAGTCGTACTAGAAATGTTGTAGGTTTGATTACAAATAAGAATTTTAAGGATAATTTATAAAAATTAATAGGATTAGAGATATAATTATAACTTTCAAGATTGTTGTTGATGCTAAGATTATTAATATTATAAGCGCTTATACTCCTCAAGTAGGTTTAGATATGTGTTCAAAATTAAAATTTTGGATTGACCTAGAAGAAATAATACAAATAATACCTCTCAAAGAAAGAGTTTTTATTATAGAAGAAAGAGTTTTTATTGTAGGAGATTTAAATGAACATGTTGGTAGAGAAATAAATGATTTTAAAATCATTCATGATGGCTATAATTTTGGAGTGACTAATGAATGTGGTAAGATCATATTAGATTTTTCTTTAGCTTATGATTTTGTAATTGCTAATACCTTATTTAAGAAAAGAAATAAACATCTCATCACTTATAAGAATGGATATATTAAAACTCAAATTGATTATATTCTTATAAGAATAATGATCGCTTGAGAAATAAATGATTTTAAAATCATTCATGATGGCTATGATTTTGGAGCGACTAATGAAGGTGGTAAGACCATATTAGATTTTTCTTTAGCTTATGATTTTGTAATTGCTAATACCTTATTTAAGAAAAGAAATAAACATCTCATCACTTATAAGAATGGATATATTAAAACTCAAATTGATTATATTCTTATAAGAAAAATGATCGCTTAGATTGCAATAATTGTAAAGTTATTCCGAGTGAAAATTTATATGTCAAACATCGTTTATTAGGACTTAAAGATGAAGAGACAAAATATTAAAAATAAATTAAATCGTTGTTCTTGGATTAGATGGGGGCATTTAAATAATATTAACAAAAATATTTTTAAGAGTAATATTCTAGATCTTAAGATTTTGTCTATGCATGAGGAAACTAATGTTATATGGGAAAAAGTAGCTAGTGATATTATGAATATTGCAAAAGATGTGCTTGAAGTATTAAAAGAAAATGCTATTAATAGTAAATAATTAGTTTTGGGATCAAAGTGTGAAAGAAAAGATAAAAAATAAGATTTGTTATAAAAATTGGTTTAGTTGTAATGGCTCTAATAATTGAAAAAGATATAAAAAGGTTCATAAAGAGTTTAATAAAACAATTTGCAATACAAAAAATTTTATCTTTTAATGATTTATATAATATATTAGATACTAAGGAGAACAAAAGATATATATATATATAAGTTAGCAAAATAAAGAGATAGTAGTAATGATTTAGGTCAAGTGAAGTGTATTAAGGATGAAGATCAAAAAGTATTTTTATTAAAGGTAAATAAAATATTTTGCTAAACTTTTTAATGAAGATTATGAGAATGCAATTGATTTTAGTGACCTTAGCATCTTAAATGAAAATAAAAAAAATTTCCTTTTATTGGCGTATTAGTAAAATCAAAGTTAAAGAGGCTTTAAAGAAAATGAAGTATGGAAAAGCTGTTGGACCTGATGATATTCTAATAGAGGCGTGGAAATGCTTAGGAGATGAAGGAATTTCTTGGCTTACTAAACTTTTTATTATTATTTTAAAGACTAAAAAGATGTTAGATGAGTGATGAATGAGTCTTGATTCCTAATTTTAAGAATAAAGGTGATACACAAGA